TCCAGACCTTTGTGTGGAGTTCATTCGGAACTGTGCCCGTTGTTTGGACTTGAAATCCTCAGAGTTCGACAAGGTGTCGTATATGGTGCTTTGGTTGAGGGGTAAGGCCTTGCAGTGGGTTGCTGACCACTTTGACATAGAGGATCTTAGGGCGGTGTCGTTTTGGGACTTTGCTGCATTGCTCCTCCGCACTTTTGGCCGAGATCCTCCTCCACTAGTCGCTCATGCCACCTCAGCATCTCAGATGGGTTACACCGCCACACCCTCACCAGGTCCTGACAGCGCCACCACTTACTCTCTGGTGGGCTGTCATTCCTCCTCAATTCCTGCCAGTGTCCTCTCCATACCTCAGCTGAGCCAAGAAAAACCACGCCGACGACGCCGCAACCCTCCTGCTCCGGCGGTGGTCCCGGTGGACGCATCGCCTCCTGCTCCAGCGGTGGTCCCGGTGGACGCATCGCCTCCTGCTCCGGCGGTGGTCCCGGTGGACGCATCGCCTCCTGCTCCGGCGGTGGTCCCGGTGGACGCATCGCCTCCTGCTCCGGCGGTGGTCCCGGTGGTCGCATCGCCTCCTGCTCCGGCGGTGGTCCCGGTGGTCGCATCGCCTCCTGCTCCGGCGGTGGTCCCGGTGGCCGCATCGCCTCCTGCTCCGGCGGTGGTCCCGAGGGTCGCATCGCGTCCTGCTCCGGCGGTGGTCCCGAGGGTCGCATCTCGTCCTGCTCCAGCGGTGGTCCCGAGGGTCGCATCGCGTCCTGCTCCAGCGGTGGTCCCGAGGGTCGCATCGCGTCCTGCTCCAGTGGTGGTCCCGAGGGTCGCATCGCGTCCTGCTTTGACTGATGAGGTCCAAGAGGTCCCGGCCCAGCCTGTCCAAGAGGCTCCGGTCCAGCCCATCCATCTGGACCCGAAGTCGATGGTGGTCAACGGCCCTTCCTGTTCCGAAGTCGACGCCCCTTCCTGTTCCGAAGTCGACGCCCCTTCCTGTTCCGAAGTCGACGCCCCTTCCTGTTCCGAAGTCGTCGCCTCTGATGACGACATGTCCAAAGTCGTCGCCTCTGATGACGACATGTCCAAAGTCGTCGCCTCTGATGACGACATGTCCAAAGTCGTCGCCTCTGATGACGTCCCCTCTGACGACGTCGCCGCCGCCTCTGATGACGTCCCCGCAGTCGTCTCGTCTGACGTCGCCGCCACCTCTGATGACGTCCCCGCAGTCGTCTCGTCTGACGTCGCCGCCACCTCTGATGACGTCGCCTCCCCTGATGTCGGCTCGCCTGACGACGTCGCCTCCCCTGACGACGTCGCCTCCCCTGACGACGTCGCCTCCCCTGATGACGTCGCCTCCCCTGATGACGTCGCCTCCCCTGATGACGTCGCCTCCCCTGATGACGTCGCCTCCCCTGATGACGCCTCCCCTGATGACGCCTCCCCTGATGACGCCTCCCCTGATGACGCCTCTCCTGATGTCGCCTCTCCTGATGTCGTCTCTCCTGATGTCGCCTCTCCTGATGTCGCCTCGTCTGATGTCGCCTCGTCTGACGTCGCCTCGTCTGACGTCGCCTCGTCTGACGTCGCCTCGTCTGACGTCGCCTCGTCTGACGTCGCCTCGTCTGACGTCGCCTCGTCTGACGTCGCCTCGTCTGACGTCGCCTCGTCTGACGTCGCCTCGTCTGATGTCGGCTCGTCTGATGACGCCTCTCCTGATGACGCCTCTCCTGATGACGCCTCTCCTGATGTCGCCTCTCCTGATGTCGCCTCTCCTGATGTCGCCTCGTCTGACGTCGCCTCGTCTGACGTCGCCTCGTCTGACGTCGCCTCGTCTGACGTCGCCTCGTCTGACGTCGCCTCGTCTGATGACGTCGCCTCCCCTGATGTCGGCTCGTCTGACGACGTCGCCTCCCCTGATGTCGGCTCGTCTGACGACGTCGCCTCTGGTCTGATGTCTCTTCTGTCTCTAGTTCCAGTGGTGATTCTGAAGGTCGCACCGGTCCAGCCTGTCCACAAGCCCCCCGTCCAGCCTGTCCACGAGCCCCCCGTCCAGCCTGTCCACGAGCCCCCCGTCCAGCCTGTCCACGAGCCCCCCGTCCACGAGCCCCCCGTCCAGACGTCAATGCCTCCAGGCCGGAGGTTGACGCCTCCCGTCTCGGGCCCCTGCTCTGAAGTGGACGTCTCGGGGCCCTGCTCTGAAGTGGACGTCTCGGGCCCCTGCTCTGAAGTGGACGTCTCCATGTCCCCGTCTCAAGTCTCCCAAGTCTCAAGTGTCCCACTCTCCCCTGTCACAAGTCTTCCAGTCTCCCAACTCTCAGGTCTCCTAGTTCCAGTCTCCCAGATGCAAGTGTTCCAGTCACAATCCCCGTCTCCAGAGATCCTTCGCCGGCCCCCTAGACTTCTCAGGTCCCGCCTCCTGGTTCCCCGTCGCCGGCCCCCACGACTCCTCTGGTCCAGTCTCCTGGTTCCCCGTCGCCGGCCCCCTAGACTTCTCCGGTCCCATCTCCTGGTTCCCCGTTGCCGGCCCCCCAGAGTCCCCTGGTCCCTGGACCCTCCTCGCCCACCCTTGTGGGTTGTTTTTTGTCCGGGCCCTCCTCTCCCGCCCTGTGGTCTCTCGTGTCCTGTTTTGTCTTTGTCTTTTGTTTCTGTTTTTGTCTTGTTCTGGTTTTGTGCGTCTGGTATCCGCCCTTGAGGGGGGGGTACTGTCATGTTCTGTGTCCCTTTGTTCCCCAGCCCTCCAGTTCCCACTCCAGGTTCTCCTTTTGTGTTTCATGGTGCCCTCATGTGTCCTTTGTCTGCGTCTTTCCCCATGTGTCTCCTAATGTTTCTCCATCCCTCTCTGGATTCCCTTTTGTGTTCTCTTAGCGCCCTCATGTGTCCTTTGTCTGCATCTCTGTTGTGTGTCTTAAGTTATAGCCACAGCCTCTTGTTCCCCAGTTCATAGTTTGTGTGTCTCAGTATGTGTATGTGTTTGTGTGAGTTCTTCCCTTAGTCTTTAGGTTTAGTTTTGTGTTTTACATAGTGTTAGGTTTATCTGCCCTCCACTGGTTCTCTTCCCCATCCAGATAATTGTTGTCACCTGCCTTCCCTCCAGCCTCACTCCACACACCTGCTTCCTGTTTCCCTAATTGCTCCTCCCTGTCTATATAAGCCCCCCTTGTCTCTGTGTTCTTGTCGGTCCATTGTTGTTCTTGTCAGCCTCGTCTTGTTCCTGTTCCTAGCTTCTAGTGATTCCAGTGTTTTCCAGTGTTTCTAGTTCTCTGAAGTTTTTGATTACTCAGTTTAGCTTTTTGGATTTTTTGGTTTGGGCTCCCTGCTTCTTGGACTACTCCTAATAAAGGATTTTATTTTCATCATCCACCTCCTGCCTCGTTCATCTGGTTTTCTGCATTTTTGGGTCCTAAAACATCCTACCACATCTAATCCTGACAGACCAAGGAAGCGCTATTTCACAGAAGAAGAAACTGAGGTACCTGTGGGTGAGGTGGAGAAATGAAACGAAATGCTTTTGTAAAACAAATAAGAGAAAATCCACGGAATGGCACAGCGTTGCTGAAGCCGTCAATGCTGAGTTCTTCAGAGAGATCTGTGGTGGATATAAAAACAATGGTCAAGTCAGGATTTGATCCCCAGACTCCCGGGTGAAAGTCACGCATGCTAACCAGTCAGCCAAACGGAGATCTCCCCTGTCAGAGTAGCCAGGGTGCATGATCAATCGGGTCACAGTGACAGGACACACTGTCACAGACGCATGATGCTCTGTCTCAATCAGTCCCCCTGCTGATATTCTGCATTCCATATTCTGCGCTTCAGGCTGTGTGTGTGTGTGTGCGCGCACGTGCGTGTGTGTGTGTGTGTGTGTGTATGTGCGCGTGTGTGTGTGTGTGTATGTGCACGTGTGTGCGTATAGGGGGTCTTGTTCTGTGTGAATACGAAGCAGTACAAGTGATAATGCTGCAGGATTTCATAGTTATCTTCTCAGCAGCAGCACTACAGGTGCTCTCCATGTCCAGCATGTGTGTAAGCCAGGTCCTTAGTCAACTTAATGTTGCGCACATTTTTCCGCTAAGTTTTCTTTCATAAATCCCAAAGTTTGCGTGGAAAGTTGCTTACGCAGTTTTCCCACCCCATTTTGTGCGTAAGCAAGCTTGATAAATGAGGCCCCTGGTCTTCACCAGGAACATGTTTCCCTCTGCTCACCAGGCAGGTGAAGTCCTCAGAAATGGGTCCCTGGAAGAATGTCTAGCTTACCTGTTGGGTCAACCCAATTCAAGATGGCCACCAAAGCTGAATACAAATGGGTTAAACTCTGTTTTAGAGATTGAACTAGGCCCAACACCAATACTCGCACTGCGCCCTGCGGTCTTCAGTAAAGTGCACTTGGAGAAGGAGCGCAGTGAGGCTTCGAGTGCGTGAGGGTGTGAATAATGCAGAACTGAGAAGGGGAGCATTGCGTCATCGATTGCAGCACATGCCGGGATGCTGGTCGCTGTGAGTTTTTTTTTTTTTTTGAAAACCTTTAATAACAACTTTCAAACAGCTATTTGAAATACTTTTCCATTCATTACTGCTTTGCCTAAAAATTTCAGAGCATCGACTAATCATCGCAACAATGGATTGTGGGTAATACATTTCCTTCAAGTCAACATCACTGTGGACTTAAGTGATGTGTGGGTCAAGGGTGCAAAAGGGGCATGGTCAGCTTTCAGCATCTGAGTATCAAGAAACCCTACGCACTCTCACCCCTGGTCGGGGTCGTGCAGTTGAAGGGTCCAAGGGTGGAAGTGCGAGTACGGGATTGGGCCCTAATGTTTGGTGTGTGAGTAGCTGAGAGGCATACTGGGAGGTCAAAGGTCACAAATATAAAATTTCCCTAAAATGGCTCATCATTCGGGATAATCTGAGATTAAATCTCTGCTGAGTCACTGAATCATGAGTCGAGAAGAGGATTTAAAGTAGCCTGACAGAAATGTCAGATTTGTGGAATCTAAAGTGTTCGTGTTCTGTTTTTGCAGCTGACAACCAAGCAGGAAGTGACACCAAACTGACGGTGGAGGATTTATTCAAACCGGAGTTCAAGGTCCACGACCCGGAGGCCAAATGGATCAACGGTGAGTTTCCTCCTGGCTTTGTCTGGAATGTTTGTTTGATTCTGATCCAAGCTTAAGGCTTTAGAAATCCTCTTTGATGAATTAAATCAGAACCTTGTCCTGGACCCGGGCCCGACACCACGCTGAGGTCCGGTCATTCCCAGTATTCCCAGCAGCAGTAAAGACCAGAACCAGGATGGATTGTGTGACTCCTGGCTGCTTCCACCCTGCAGAGCTTTGCCTCGTGTCTGGTTATGCAAACGTAGACGTTGGCTTTATTTTCTCTCCTTATTTAAATCGAATTGATTCCTTATTTGTCCGACGCGGGTATTGTGTCGAGGCCGGAAAACCTTGACTATAAATAAACAACATCAAGTGAAGAGCGGGAGAATCTGATTATAGTTTTAGTGGAGGGCCATGTGTGTGTGTGCGCGCGTGTGTGTGTGTGTGTGTGTTTTGTGTCTCCAGATTAGCGGGTTTGTTCTGACTTTCCTCTCCGCCGCCCGTTGACCCTCCGACTCTCGCCTGCAGGCAAAAGCAGGAGGTGAGGCCTTTCTGCCCATCGACATTTCATTCTTTGGTGACATTTTTCGGCCATCTTTGCCGCGGCGTCTCATTGCCGCCGCCAACCTCGGGCTAGACGGGAGCGGGGCGGTGGGGTGAGATGAGGCGGCCAGAAAAGTCAGCTTTATGGGGTGTTTTGTGGATTGATGGGGCAAAATAGACCTCAGACAAATGGGAGAAGATAAGAGACGGACGGCTGAAGAGAAGATTGATCACTTGGATTTACAGCAAAATGAGATTTTTTCTTCTCTAAACTAAAAGCTTGGAAGGTTTTTGGCCCAGATCTCTGCAGCAGATGAGTGGCGTGATCCAGTCAGATAAGATAACCTAACAAGTGGTCCTCCTGCTGCTGCTCACCTTTCAGGGTTAACTGAATCATTTTAATTTAGCTTTTGAATATTTATAGTTAACTGTCCAAGTTGCTCCTAAAATCAGATAAAATATTTCATTTAAATTTTATTTACAGGCTGATCAACAGAAATACAGACAAATAAAGACTAAAGCAAGATTTTAATAAATGCTTTGTTTCACTATGCGTCCTGTGTGATTGGGGATGTGAGATCATCAACATCTGTTCACCTCCAGCTGCTGAATGTGAGCACACCCGTGCGCACCGGGAGCAGATCACGGAGACTCACGTCCGCCTGCTGCAGTCTGAGCGCGCTCAGTGGGTCCCTGACAGACGGGCGTTGGAGCGGTCTCCGTGCCGTGACACGGATGAAAAGATCCACTCCGGTTCAGCTGATGAACAGCAGCTCTTATACAAACGCTGGAGAACGTGGAAGCTTTTAGCTCGCTTGAGGGGAAAAACTAATAACTGACGTTTTAATCAGCAGCAAAGAAAAAATTAGATTTTTCACAACAAAATAAAGTTTTATTCTGCCAGAGTTAGAGACGGCAGCCATTCCTGATTATTAAATAATACCATGGGCTGGTGGGGCGTTTAGATCCACATCATAAATGGGAGCTGTATCCATATCCGTAAATGATTGTCTGTTGTGTTCTGAGTGACTGGTTCTGGCTTTTATATCCAGGATGTTTGGGATTAGTTGGGCCTCCTAAACATTTAGTCCCAGTTCTAAGTCTCTCTGCTGACGTCGACCTCGTAGGAAAGCTGTTGTTTTAACGTCGTGTTCCCTTTTATCCTGTCTGATTGTGTCTATATCTCCAGTGAGATGCTGGTTTAGCTCCAGAGTTCAGAGCAGAAATAGATATTCAAATTTTTCTTCCTGTTTGTTTCAAACAACTACCAATAGGAATAACTGCTTGATAAAGGACAAATTCAGCCAAACACCACCATAGTGGACCAATCGCTGCGCTCTGTCAGTTTGTAACCCCTATAGAGAGCTGTGATTGGCCAGCCAGAACGCTGCTAGGGCCTGCCGAGGTTCCGATGGAGCGTTCCTAGACCAAACTTTGAAATCCCTAGTCTGGCTGCAGAACAAACGCTACACTTCCAAGACAAACTCTGCAGTTTAGATCGAGCCAGACAGGAAGTCAAACACAAAGGCAATGTAAAACATCAGGAAACTTTCAAAATAAAATATGGCATTTCCTGTGAACCCCTATAGCCGGTGTGGGCTACTGAAATCACGCGTAGTGTTGCAATTCTCCCGTGATTTTGTGACCTGACGGCATCAGCTGTGTGGAACGTTTTGCTCCTGTTTGTGTGTGTTTCCTGGTGGGAAGGGAGCTTTTGTCTAAAACACCACTTTTGCATCTGGTAGAAAGGAGGGGTGAGGCTTCAGAGAGCTGGCTCGTATTGATGGAGCTCTGCTTGTTAAGAAACGCTCCTCAGAAGAGAAACAAACTGTTTTTGTTTAATCCTGGAAGATTTGGGAATCTTGGATGCCGAACCCATCTGTTTTTTTAAGGAACCCTTCCCAAGGCCCGTGTGATCAGCAGCAGCAAGGTTCATGTATCCAGATCAGAACGAGTTACGAGAAACTTTCGTCAGGACCAGATGTCTGGTTTTAGTGGGAATCCTGGGTTTATTATGACATTCTTTAGAGAATTTTTTTTTTAATTATTTATTTCATTTATTATTAAAATAGAGAAAAAAACAATACTAACAATAAAATGAGGTTTCTCAAACCAAGAAAATGAAAAGGGAACAGAAAGAATGAAACTTATGTTATCTGCCCTTTTTTGTTTTAGCTAAAATGACATTTTTACACTGAATTAGCCTATACAAAGTAATTGCTTGACTGGTTAGCTAACTTGAGTTCCATTTGTAAAGAAAAAAGAAACAAATTAATAGTAATAATAATTGAAAAAGCAAAAGGATTTTTGCGCATATACCTATTCATACATATATACATTAAAGTGCATCGCATGCCCATATGGTCGCACATACTTCATATATACATATACCGCAATTTTCGGACTATAGAGCGCACCTCAATAAAAGCCGCACCAACAAACAAAAAGGTTTTCTACACACACATGCTGCACTCGAATACAAGCCATGGCGCAGCATCCACATGCAGGTCTCCGGCGCACAGCGCATGTACGGCCATAACATAAGATAATTGGACAGAAAGATGCTACACGGAGGGTTTCGTTGTTGTTTTAATTCAACAAAACAAATTTTAAACATGGTTGAGCACTGATAGCATTCATATTTCTGGATGGTTATAACATAAAAACAGCACTGACACGTTATTACCGGTAATTTGCATGGTTAGAAGAGAAGAACAGCGCTGACACAGCATTAATAAGCCCTGGATGATTAGAAAATAAAAACTGCACACAAAACATGCCTGGTTAGTAAAGAAAACACACTTGCCTACCAGAAGAAGTCTTTCGCTCTCATCTTTCTCCTGCGCACTAAAGCCATTAAAGTCCTCTTCTTCAGTGTCGGAGTTGAACAGCCTCAGAAGAGCTTCGTCACATACCTTTTCTGTGGCGACGTCAGTGTCGCTGTCCGTGTTGCTGTCATCATCCCCGGGTGAAGCTGGCTTGAATGAGTTCTTCCCGCTGCCGTCTCCAGCGCCGAACCATGGATTCATTCATGCCAACATGGACGTCACTAGGATTGAGATATAGGGGGGGCTTAGCCCCAGGAGCTTGACCTCGAACGTTTTTTGTCACACCCTGCAAAAACTTTGTCAATTAATTCATTATCTGAAGAAAATCTAACAAAACCTATTATTTTATCACTTTCCTTTCCTTTCCTTTCCTACTTTTGTGCATTTTCTCTCTTCTTTTTATAAAAAATAACACTTAATCAGTTCATTAGTGGGGTCTATGTTGAAGAAAGATTTTATGTAAGTCCATTAAAAATTTGATATGTTATATTTCCAAATAAAGCTATTCATTTCAGTCTACTGCACTTAACAGGGGGAAATGTTGTAGTCATTTATTTAATTTGTTTAATTACAACTTGTTTAATTATAAATGTTACTGAAATGTGACAATAAAGAACAAATGAATAATTGTCAAACTTTTATTCTGCCAAATGAGTGTGCAGTTGACAGTTTTAATATATGAATAACACTGCTATGATATGGACTAAAGGAGTATGTAATTAACTATTACAAGACAAAATAACAGTATATATGAAAATATCCAGCAAGTAGTAGAACTTATATTACAGAAAGTCAACTATACAGATACAACTTGACATAAGGCTGCAGGTCACATGATAATTATAGTTTTTTTTTTCTCAAGTTCTCTTACCTGTTCACTCCTAAATAGAAAACTGTTCAATTTTGCTTGGGAACTTTGTGCTCAGGTAAATGCTCATAACGATGCGCTCGCCCCTGTTTTCTCTGTAGATCACTGACCTTGACCATGCAGATCTCCCCAGCATCAACCACCTGGTCTCTCTCCTGTTCCTCACTCACTCTCTAAAAAAATCTTCGTATATCCATCTAGCCAACACATTGAAAAACATTTTCAATTTCTAATGCCAAGACAAATGCTGCTATGCCATTTAGTTTTCACTCACGATAATTGAAACTGCCATTGGTGGATAAATGGTACAGAATATGGACAACTGTTAGCCTAATATAGCCTATGTTTGGTTGCTCATGATGATGGCATTTTCCATAACATCACATCGAGCTGCCAAAATTTATGTTAAAGTTAGACGAGTACAATATCTCCTTTCTTTCCCATAGGTAAACATAGGAAATATTAAGCAACTGACAACCCACATGGAAAGAATTCATATAAACATATAGGCTTTAATATATGTTTTGATGTAGCTTTTGAATATATGTGACATATATAAAACTGGCTGTTTACTATATTATAGATACATATATGTACCTATAATATAATATATATATTATAGAAAAAATATATAATATAGAAAAATGGTCAATAATATACACATTCGGCCATATTCTGATTCAGGTTTTTAGTGTGGAGTGATTTTTGTGCCACCAACTGGAGCGTGCAGTGATAAATCTGCAAGAGCAACACCTGCTCTGCAGTCGTATGCAGCCCTC